AAGAAAAAGATGATCAATTTCAACAACTTTTTTCACACGCAACGCCAATTAAGATGTGCTGTTTTGCATTCAATGTCACATAAATTAGATCAATAAGATTGCCTCATTTCTATTTGGAATGATTTCTGAGAGTGATCAGATCGCCGCTGACATTTTTACATAATAAATGGCTATGCATTATCAGTCGGTAAAAGATGCACCAGCATAAGCAAGTTTTTAAATTTATACTTAGATGCAGAGGCAGATTTAGGATTTTCAAAAAAATTTTGAAATTTTTGACGACCTTTTTTTTAGGTCGACCAAATTGATTTTTTGAGCTCTCCCAAACACTGTTTTCCCCTATTTTGGGCTAAATTTTCAACGCCGCACCCCCCCCCCCATAAATCCGCCCCTGCTTAGATGTAATATAGTCCTTTTTTACCATTTGCTGAATATTAAAACGATCATAATCGATTGCTTAGATGTGCCCAATTTCTGAAAACTATTTAACGAAAGGACTTTTCAAAGAGTTACCAGTCTAGATGTATGATAACTGTCTTCACTGACCTTTTTTCAAAAAACTGCCATATCTACAAACCGGTTTATTATAGAACCAAATTTGTATCAATTTTACCTAAAAATTGTATATCAACTGTTGTTAAGTTGCAACGCTATACTATTTTTTTGGCTGGTTTTTAAAAGTATCCTATGTTTGGTTTACTGACCCTTCGGCCTGGTAGTCAGAGCAATATGAAATTGAACTTTTAGGTCTGAAATAACAAAAACGATGGAGTGTCTACTCTTGTTTTACTCAGGGTTGACTTCTATCTGTGGCGATAATTAGGAATCTTAATAAAGCAAGCATAAATTTTAATGCTTTTGGAACCAGTTAAAAACAGGTATATAAAGCAAGGGCTGATTTAGGGGGGGACGCCTTTTTCTCTCCCCCTCAGGGATTCGACCCCTACCGACCCAAAGGGTCCCCCATTTTACTATTTTGAGATATCCATATTTGGTGACGAACCGTAAAAATTTTCTAAAGGCACCTTGGGCGCCAATATATATTAACTTTGAGTGGGGAGCGCGCGCCAATTTTATGGTCGAAATTTTCCAAAAAGTGCTTAAAAACGCCTTTCTTGATCTGCTTTTTAAACTTTCGACTGCGTTACAAGAAACGAGTTTTTTTAAGGCTTTGGGAGAGCTCGGAAAATCAATTTGGTCGGCCTAAAAAAAATCTACAAAATTTTAAATTTTTGATTTTTGTTTTTGAAAATCAGCCCCCCAACAATTTCCTAGACCCAGCCGCCCCTGATTTAAAGTAATTGTTATATTACTTGATACTTATCACTTTAAAAAATTGAGAACTAACCAAGCGCGATCCAGTACTAAAACTTATGATATATTCATAGTTTGAACCAGAGAAAATATAATACAGCTTAGAAATCAGTTTCCTCTTTCTCTCCTTTAACCTCACAAGAATACCAGTATATACTAGGTCTATTGAGACTAGGAAAGGTAAAAGTGAGATTAAGATTGATATAAGAATAAAAAGTTGCCAAATTTATCCGGCCAAAAATAAGATAGTGGGAGCAACAGATGGGGTTCCTTATCTGAAATTCATCCTTTTTTATTTTCTTAAACGCCACCCTCCAACATCCTTTTAAAATCCCTCCAAAAATGGCTAAATTATAAGTCAAAATACCTTTGAAGAAAAAGTCTCATCAAACACAAATATTGCACCCCTTTGTTTTGAATTCAGGTCAACAAGAGAGCTTGTTTCAAGGCAAAGCCCTGAATGTTCCGACTGCCTTTCGATGTGCCCGCTGGAGTTTTTGAAGAAAAAGAAGATCAATTTCAAAAACTTTTTTCACACGCAACGCCAATTAAGATGTGCTGTTTTGCATTCAAGGTCACATAATTTAGATCAATAAGATTGCCTCATTTCTATTTGGAATGATTTCTGAGAGTGATCAAATCGCCGCTGACATTTTTGCATAATAAATGGCTATGCATTATCAGTCGGTTAAAGATGCACCAGCGTAAGCAAGTTTTTAAATTTATACTTAGATGCAGAGGCAGATCTAGGATTTTCAAAAAAATTTTGAAAAATTTGACGACCTTTTTTTTAGGTCGACCAAATTGATTTTTTGAGCTCTCCCAAACACTGTTTTCCCCTATTTTGGGCTAAATTTTCAACGCCGCACCCCCCCATAAATCCGCCCCTGCTTAGATGTAATATAGTCCTTTTTTACCATTTGTTGAATAACAAAACGATCATAATCAATTGCTTAGATGTGCCCAATTTCTGAAAACTATTTAAGGAAAACTATTTAACGAAAGGACTTTTCAAAGAGTTACCAGCCTAGATGTATGATAACTGTCTTCACTGACCTTTTTTCAAAAAACTGCCATATCTACAAACCGGTTTATTATAGAACCAAATTTGTATCAATTTTACCTAAAAATTGTATATCAACTGTTGTTATGTTGCAACGCTATACTATTTTTTTGGCTGGTTTTTAAAAGTATCCTATGTTTGGTTTACTGACCTTTCGGCCTGGTAGTCAGAGCAATATGAAATTGAACTTTTAGGTCTGAAATAACAAAAACGATGGAGTGTCTACTCTTGTTTTACTCAGGGTTGATTTCTATCTGTGGCGATAATTAGGAATCTGAATAAAGCAAGCATAAATTTTAATGCTTTTGGAACCAGTTAAAAACAGGTATTTAAAGCAAGGGCTGATTTAGGGGGGGGGACGCCTTTTTCTCTCCCCCTCAGGGATTCGACCCCTACCGACCCAAAGGGTCCCCCATTTTACTATTTTGAGATATCCATATTTGGTGACGAACCGTAAAAATTTTCTAAAGGCACCTTGGGCGCCAATATATATTAACTTTGAGTGGGGAGCGCGCGCCAATTTTATGGTCGAAATTTTCCAAAAAGTGCTTAAAAACGCCTTTCTTGATCTGCTTTTTAAAATTTCGACTGCGTTACCAGAAACGAGTCTTTTTAAGGCTTTGGGAGAGCTCGGAAAATCAATTTGGTCGGCCTAAAAAAAGCCAAGAAAATTTTTGGTTTTTTTTTGAAAATCAGCCCCCTCCCCAACAAATTTCTAGACCCGCCCCTGATTTAAAGTATTTATTATATAACATGATACTTATCATTTTAAAAAGTTAAGAACTAACCAAGCGCAATTCAGTACTATAACTTATGATATATTCATAGTTTGAACCAGAGAAAATATAATACAGCTTAGAAATCAGTTGCCTCTTTCTCTCCTTTAACCTCACAAGAATACCAGTATATACTAGATCCATTGAGACTAGGAAATGTAAAAGTAAGGTTAAGATTGATATCAGAATAAGAAGTTGCCAAATTTATCCGGCCAAAAAAATGATAGTGGGAGGAACAGATGGTGTTCCTTATCTGAAATTACTCTATGAGAAGGCCACCCGGACCTAAACTCACTTTTTAAACTCAATTTAATCCTGGCTATTTCCATAAGAATTGCGAATCAAAAGGACAGATCTTTATTGAATACTTTTTGCCACTATCTTTAGAAGTTGCCACTGTCAATATTATATCAATGTGTTCTACACCAAAACATGAAAGCGGTCAAAAAATTTGAAAAAACCATCAATCCCAAAAAAAACACCAACCCCATTGCCATAGTTGCTTTACCTGTCATTTTTGATAAAAACGTGAAGTTACGACATAAGATATGAAAAATACATCTATTCAAAAATGTTAGTTGATTCACCATGCCATGATTCATTGCATTATGGCGACCTTCAATTTTTCAAAATAACATTCGAATAAACGGGGGGTGACGGTAAAGGAGCCATTAAGTTATCTTCCACTCCCACATTTGCACGTTTTGGTTCTTTTTTGCAACTCTTTCTTTGTTTTTTTTTGAATTTTAGCTTACAATGTAATTTTTTTTTTGATATTTTCAAAAAAGGGGCTTTCACCCAAAACTTTATTTGTTTCTGTAATATAATGAAGAATGATGTTTTTGAGCCTTTAGAAAATTCCTAAAGACACAGCCTTTTTAGTAAATTTTTAAAGCGCATTCGCTTAATTACAGAGGTTTCCCACAACCTGTTGCCTCGATTAAACCCTTGATATCAGCTTCGGCTGAGTAGTTTTCGAAAAGAGTTAAAAAGTTCAAAAAACTCACAAGAAATCAAAACATTGATTTTTCCGAAGGATATAATTTTTTAAACAAAAGTTACGTCGCTGTTTATTCTGGTGAGTTTCATTCAACATTTTCTTTTGATTGAACCCAAGATCTCAATTTGGGTGTGTAGTTTTCGAGAAAAGTCAAAGAGTTTCAAAAACAGTCAATGAATCTAACAACTGATTTTTCTAAAAATTTAGAAATTTCTTAAAAAAATTTGGAAGAACCCTGGGGTTTTTCCATTTTTCCAAATTGGGGGAGTGGAAAAAAGCCTGGAGGGGCTAAAATTCTATTCAGGGGCGGATCTAGGATTTTTTCAAAAAAAAACATCAAAAATTTTGTCGACCAAATTGATTTTCTGAGCCTTCTCAAATCATTATATTTTGACCAAGTTGTCTGTTCCGCAGGCAAGTTTTTGAATAAGCCGGCCAAAAAAGGCGTTTTAGGCACTTTTTGTAAGTTTTTGTCAAAAAAATGCGTTTTTTTTGGCGCGCGCTCCCCCTCACAATTAGCATTATTTGGCCACGAAAACGCATTTAGAAATATTTTAGGGCTAGTGAGCCAACAATGGATATCTCAAAATAGTACAATGGGGGCTTTGAGTCAGCAGGGGGTCGGAATCCTAAATCAGCTGGTTGAAATTTGAAAAACTTTTTTAATGTTGTTACTATGCAGTGAATCTTGGCATTGTAAACAAAACATACAATTGTAAACCAAATTTTTTTTACCTTGCATCGTAACATCAGGCATTCAGCAATAATAAATGTCTTTTAAAATTGCGAAAACTTGAAAATCGGAAGGGGGTGTGAAAAAAAACAAGAGCCCTTTATACATTCATACCTGCTTGCGTTGAAGTGTCCGGCTGCTTCGAAACATTTGAAGAGTTGGCATTGAAGCCTTTGGCAACCGGCAGTGATGACTTCTTGTTAGCAAACACAACCGAACTCTGGTTGGACTGCTTTCTCTGGTCTCGCTTCTGATTCACCCAGTAAGCAGTGTCGTTTGATGACTCAGACCCTTTTTTGCTACTTCTACCGGCTTTCGATGAAAACGAGTTTTTCTGGAATTTCTTTTCACGTTGCTGGTTCAACCAGAACTCTGTGTCGCTGGACGAAAAAGTAGCGGCGGTAAATTGAGACGATCTTTTTCCAGCTGGTGTATTCGACTGACTATTTGCAGTGCCGTTGTTGTTTTTGATTTCACTGCTGATAGCGCCATTATTGCGAACATTTGGGTTTCGATTGCTGTTGTTGTTGCTATTGTTGTTGGTGTTATTGTTTACTTTTGTATTGCTTTCAATGGAATCGCGGTATTTCCACATAAGGACCAGACCAAAAAGGGAAGGTTTGAACAACAAGGCGATAATTCAAATAGAGTGTAGAAAAAGGTTGAGATTCTTGGAAAAGCGTAAGTTTGTTATCATGGTTAGCTAACAAGCCACGTGCATGGTGTATCTAATTTGGCACGTGTGCATGCTTGGTTTTCATATTTTGTGAGTTTTGAACTAATTTTCTGTAAATTGAACTATAATAGCTTAACTGAAACTAAATTGACCTAATGTTCCTGGAATTCAGGGCTCTTTTTCCTTTTCCCCCCACCTCACACGAGCTTCATTTTTTTAGTGTAACGAGTGGTTTTACGAGGTTGAGTATGAAATCCAAATATGCTGGTCGTTGCCATATTAGTCCGTCTGTAAGTTTTCTTAACAATCCGATAAAGTGGTCAACAAATTTACATGTAAAAATTCGCAGGTGGGGGGGGGGGAAAGGAAAAAGAGCCGAATTCAGATAGGGTTTTTCTGTTGAAGCTTCCACTACAGCCAAATACAAAATAATTTTAGGGCTCGGCTCTTTTTCCTTCCCCCCCCCCCCCCCCCCCACCTCACTTGAGCATCAACTTTATGGTGTAACGCGTGGTTTTACAAAGTTAATTATGAAGACCAAATATGTTTGTCATGGCCTAATTAGTCAGCGTGTAAGTTTTCATGACAATCGGATAAAGTGAACAGCAACTTCAAATAAAAAAAATTGCAGGTGGGGGGAAAAGGAAAAAGAACCAATTTTAGCCCACACGTTGTAATGTTGCAATTATGAGGCCCTAATAAGGGGAAAACTCTTTAAACCTTGCCAGATTCTTGCTAAAAATCTGGAGAAGGAACATTAAATTAGCTTTTTTTTACCCCATTTTGTATATTATGATGAAAAATATGTTCGATATACAATTTTTTTTATTACATTATGCCACCATTAAAATAAATTTTAAGGGCTCTTTTTCCTTTCCCCCCCCCACCTCACACAAACATGAATTGTATGGTCTAACGAGTGGTTTTACAAGGTTAATTAAGAAGATTAAATATGTTTGTTATGGCCTAATCAGGTCCTTTTCCATTCCCCCCATTTTTCAAAATTTTTATTTTCAGAGTTGTTTTGTGGCTGAATCGGTGATGTTAGAACCACATACATTATAACCACGTAAAATTGATTTTTTTAATCAAAATTGAAATTTAAATGAGGTGAGTGGAGAAAATCCGACAAAGAAAACGTATTTGGTCTTCATAATTTATTCCTTTGATAATAAGGACCGGAAAAAGACTGCAAATAACGCAATCAACTTGAGTGTTTCCAGAATAGTCGGTAAAATTTTCCTCATAATGTGACATTTATCAGACAAATTTTTCACGTCTTTCGCAACTCCAGAATAGGGGAATTTGAACAATTTTGTCCAATTTTGTACAATTTTGAAAATCTGAGCAGTGAACTATTTGATATATAATATTTTATTGCAAAAAGTCGAGGCTGAAGACAAGCAACTTTCACCACTACGACCAATAAACAAATTTTAAACAATCGAAATTAAACTCAAACTAAACTTAAAAAGAAGAAAAGTCAAGCACAACTGTCTAATTATTGCTTAGCAAACTCTCAATATGGAGATTTGCATTTGATTTTCAATAAAAATCGATCTTTCCATTTTCCCCTCAACTAGACTTTTTTGATGAAATTTTGTTCACGTTGTCTGATTGCTGTGCCGACTAATTACGCCGCATTAAAAATGTTGTATCTTTATGATATTTTGTAAAACCCCCTGATGCACTCTAAAAATGTTGCTTATAAGAGAAGGGGAAGGGAACAAGAGCCAGAAATAAGCACGGTTTTGCATTATATTAAGTACTTTTTTTGAAATATTTAAAGTTGGTGTTTTTAATATTTTTCTTTTTATTCCACCTCAGACTTCATGGTGCAACGAGTGGTTTTATAATGTTAATTAGCAATGACAAGTTATCACCATGCCACATTTTCTTAACTATCTTATATTATCAAAAAAATTTGTACGAGTGAATATGAAGCAGTTTGCAGGAGAAAAACCTTGGCCTTAGCTTTTGTTTTTTAAATTTAGTTGCATATGAAAAAAAAATGTAAGGAGATAATTAAATCACGTAAGTGCAGTTTTTAAACATTTGGCACGCGTAAACAAAAGTTAGATCAATAGAAATTGCAAGTTGGTGGTCGACGCAAGAGCACTTAGCAGATAACTCAATAGGATTGATTTCTTCACAATAGAAAAAATGAACGATAAATAAAGAAATTTCACAAAAGCATCACAATCAATGTATTCAAAGGTGTAATCAACAGTTTTTTTAAAAAAATTCAAAGTAGGTAAGATATTTTAGTATGAATTTTTTTTTCTAAGATAAGGTAACTTGTATAAGCAGTAAGAAATTTTTAGCACTGACCAGCGGTGTGCGCAGAAATTTTTCAAAGGAGAGCGGTTTGTCGAAAAATGACTTTCTGCGCCGCAGGCAAATAAAAAAACGACTAAAAGAATGTTTGACCGAAAACATTTGTTTTTGGGCGCCCGATCCTCCCTCAAATTAAGTTTTCTGGCCCAAAAAGCGCGTAGAGAAAATTTTCGATGTCGGCCAGCTTTTGCAATGTTTTATCCGTTCACAAGAATTTTTCAAAGTTCTCAACCTAAACAAGCCGCTAAGCAGTTTAATCAAATTCAAACAATGGAATATATATATTTTTTAATTTTATCCATTCAACGGGGAGGATACTACCGTGATCTAAATACTGGACTGCCTGTTTGGCTGATATCTATATGATTGACTATTGAAACTTGATCGGAAGCCCTAAACAAAGCTTTTTTATTCAGCGCAAAACTCTGATTTTTCCAAATAATCTTTAACATATCTTGATTTGTTTTGTTAGAGATAATTTTGTTTGCTAAACTTTTAATTTTCCCTCAAAAATCAATACAAAAAAAGGCAACGTTCTTTAAAGCAAATTCAAATTTCAAGTTCAAACGCAGAATTGGAAAAGAGCTAGACTGGCAAAATTTCAGCTTTAATTCCCTTAAAAAACGCTGAAGTAAAGCTGACCTTATGCCAATCTCTTTTTCACTTTTTTCAGCGTTTGAATTTGGATTTTGACGCTACTTTCCTTGCACGGGAACAAATTGATGGCTGAGGTGAAGTGACGCAAAAATCATCAGGCTAATCACCAATATGAAAGGCTTTTGCATTCCGCCATTTCTACACATATGCAAATAACTTTTAAAGAGTAGCAGCTGGCCGAATGGTAAAACACTTGAACTTGGTTTTTTTGCTCCATGTTTCTAGGAAAGTAACGAAATAAATGTGCTTGGGATGGTTTTTATTCAGGCTGATTTCGGCAATCACAATTTGAGTTTTTTTTGAAACTTTTATATAACGCAATTGAGTATCGACGCTCTGAATTTACGTGCAATCATTAGACTCATTAACTAATTTTATTTATAACTGTGATTTTCTGCATGCGTCAATTTGAATCTTGATCTTCTCTATTGTCTTCATTTTGTGTAAAAGCATTTGGTATTTGATTGTTTTTTTCCAATTTTGGTGAACAAAAGAAAATCTAGTGAGGTGTCATATAAGAACTATCGAAAATAACATAAAAAAATTGTTTGGTAACTTCAATATGAACATTACGAGGTAAAACTGTGAACTAGATAGGCTCACAATATTGTGTCGGTGTGTTCCCGGAATCCAGAGAGAATTCTTCTAACATAGTGTAATTTCTTTGGATTCTAACCTACTCCACAATTTGCGGATTTTGCTAACAGTTTGCGGAATCTGTTTAAAAGTTGCGGATTCCGCTGGCAACTTGCGGATTCCACTTACAGTTGCGGATTTCATGACAGCTTAAGTTTGCTAAACACATACTTTTATTTATTTATGGATTCCACTAACTGTACAGGATTCCGCAAATCTTGTTGCTAACTCCACAAGTTTTGTTGCAGCTTCCGCAAAAGTGCCTGTTTTTGGAGCGATTTTGAGCAATACAGTTTTTTAGCTATTTGTTTGAGAAATCCAAAACAGCAATGAAGATCAGAGACAAATAGCAATGTTGCGGGTTGCGCAACAATTTTGTTTTGGCCTGTTGCGAAATCCGCTAACAATTCCCAGACATTTTATTATTCGCTTATAGATTCCAAAACTGTTCCAGATTCCTTAAATCTTGTTGCAGATTCCACAAGTTTTGATAGGGGTTTCTCAAAAGTGCCTGTTTTTGGAGCGATTTTGAGCAATACAAACAGTTAACAGTTCAAGCATGGTTCTTTTTCACGAGACTGCTTCAACTAAAATTACGAGACTTTCAATTGAAAACACGTAAACAGTTTTGAGCGTGCAGCTTTTTCTAAAGATGGACAGGACAGCACATTAAAACTAGTTTTACCTGTTTCTGGCTTGAAGCAACTGTGGTACATACATTAGGTAGGTGCAACCACTTTCGAAAGTTACGTGTCTTAAGTCAATACATTTTTTTATTCGCGATAGTGACGTAAGTTCAAACTTCGATGCACTTTTCATATATAAAAATCAAATAAAACAAACCATAGTATTTTTTTCTTGTTTATATTTACACAGATAATTCAACAAATTGATTTGAACAGCTGAATTTTACCAGGCAAGTTTTCTCTGCTATGTTTTACCAGTTTAAATTTTGAAAATCACAATTTTCCGATTGAAAAGACGTGAGAATTTTTGAGAGTGCAGCTTTTTCTAAAAATGGACAGCACATTACATTAAAAATCTTAGTTTTACCTGATTCTAGCTTAAAACAACTGTGGTACCTTAGGTGCGACCAGGTTTTAAAGTTACGTGTCTTAACTAAAAAAATTTAGCATTATTTGCGATAGTGACGCAGGTTCAAACTTCGATGCACTTTTCATATACATAAAAAGATAAATACAAACCATAATATTTTCTTTTTGGTTATAATTGAAAAGAGCTAGAAAAATGTACACACATAACTCAACAAATTAATTTGAACAGCTGCATATAACCAGGTAAGTTTTCTCTGCTATATTTTAATTTGAACGCATATTTTTGATAATTTGAAGGTTTTTTAATTTGAGCGGCAACTTGATAACAGCATAGTTATTATCCATAAATTAACGGCAGATTGTGGGCAAAAACTTTTCAGGCGAACAAATTGGACCCAAATTAGTTTGCTTAAAGCAGCCTATTTTGATGACGGAGATCGTTTTTAACCATTTCGGCTATTGTTAAAAATTAGTCTGGCAATTGCAAGCGCTCAAACTGAATTTTACTGCTAAACGTTTTAATAATAAATCTAAATAAATTGTTTAGGAGAATTGATTTACTTTGTCAGAAAACGGTCTCCAAAATGTCGTATGAGGCGCCAATCACAAGGCATGCGTTGGGTGAGCAAATTGAGCTGGGCACTTTGTTTGACGCCACTACAGGTCAATTCTATTCGAGTTTGAGTCTCTGGAATCACAAAGACATCGAAAGCCAGCAAATAATCACAGATGCTCATGATATCAAATTGAAAGTCTCGTCAACTGTTGAAGAGCTGCGAAATAACAGTGACCTGGATGCAAACGGGGCCTTGGACATTGCTTTCGGTTTTGTGAAGCTGAACGGTTCTGCTAAGTACTTGAGTTCTTCAAAAAATACCACGAACGAAGCTCGAATTGACGTGACATGTATCAAAAAGAACAGAGTTAGAAGCATCCCAATGGAAACTATGATCGAAATGCCTCATCAGAATTTGGTTCTTAGAAATCCCAACATTACTCATTTTGTCTGTGAGGTGACCGAGGGAGCAACTGCAAACATTTCATTCAGAAAAAAGTGCTCAAATAACGATGAAATCAAAGAAATTGGTGGTAAAATGTCAGGTGAATTGAAAAAAATAGTTAGCGGCGTGAAAATTTCTGGCGGAGTGACACACACAACAGGTGACACGAAAAACATCGACGAGTACACTATCGAAGTCGACGGAGTTGTTGACGTGCCAATATCGAGTTTCGAAGACGTTGCAAAAGCTGCCCGAGATATGCCAGAAACCCTGAAACGTTACAACAACACATTGACAGTGAAACTTCTTCCAATTTCTCTTGTTTATACTGACGAGAATCGAATAGTTCGAAGCCTGGACGAAAAAACTATCAGTCGATTGGCGAACACTTTGGACAAAACGACAAAATCGCTAGCGTCACTAGAAGATTTGCAAAAATTGTGCTGCATCAGAACTATAAATTCATGCAAGAAACAATGTGAAAACTTCCAAGGCAAGTATGGATCATGCTTGGAGGAGTTCAAAGAAAAAGTTCGTGAAATTTTGCCAAAATTGAGAAGCGGTACCCAAGAAGAAACATCATTGCTAATCAGCGAGATCAATAAATCAACTTCTGTTGTTAAAAAACAGCACCACGTTGCGGAGAGTTTTATATCAGCGAAAACAAAGGAAAATCATTTCTTACAGAAAGTTTTCGAACAATTGGAAAATGAGGGTTTCCAGAACTTTGAGACAGATTCCGATAATGATTTGAGCAATCGAGTTTTTTTGGATATTTCATGCAATGAGTTATTGCAAAAAAGGCATGCAATGGAATCCAAACTAAAAATCGAAAGCATTGATGACGCTGTTAACACTGATAGCGATGCAGAGAGCGATAGCGATGATAACGTAACTGAGTGGTTTGAAAACGGCGAGAGTGCTGAGGCACTGCAGAAGTCGATCACTGAAATATCAAAACTAAGAAGCTCAATTGAAATGCCTGAAGTCAGCTTCGGATTCGGAGTAACAAAAAAGAAAAAAGAAGCCAACAAACCTGGTCAAATATCCTTGGTTTCCAGTTTAGGAACTTCAATAATTCCAGTAGAATTGCCCAAACCAATAATTGAGACAACTGTAGCTTCTGAAACAACTATCAAAGTCTCGTGGACCAATTTGGATCATAACTATCTAACCGGTTTTCAGATTCAGTGGAGATCAAAAATGTCATCAAGTTCGGCTGGGCCTAGATCGCAGGAACATGATGATAGACCATGGGATATTGAAAACCTCGAACCTACTAAAACTGATTTCGAAATCTCGAGCTACCAGACATCACCTCTTAAAAGTGGACGATTTTATGAAACAAGGATTGCTGCAAAGTATAAGCTGCTGGGGCTAGTTTTTTGCAGCCCCGTCGAGTCCGAAACAAAAACAGGACCCTTATTTTCACGAGCTACAACAGCAGAGAAGTTGATTGAATTTTTTGAAGAAGAAAATTCATCATTATCACACGATTCACGACAATATTCTTTTAATAACTGGAAGGTTGAAGGTTGTAATTTGTATCTAGGTTTAAAGCCCACAGAGACAAAGTTTCACAGCTTGACAGTTTTTGATATTGCTTGTGAGTTTCAACCAGAAGTAGTTGCTTCGCCAGTGGGCGGTGACAATGCTATTATGTTGATATTTCTTGGTGAAGGCCCTACCGTAGAAGCAGAAATGAATGCCTACATTTCATTTCTATTGGGCGCTTCTTTGAAAAATCGGTATCTATTTCGGGTTGCTGACAGCTTCCCACGTAATGCTATATTTCGACTAAAACCTCTCTCAGATTTGTTTGAAGGCAAAACTATGTACTTTGTAACAAGCCTCGAAAATTACATGCTCTTCCAACTACAGATCTACAAATTGTACGCTTATTCAAAGTGTAGTTCTATTATAAAATGTTTTGACGAAAGTGATGAATTGAGAGATAACGAAAAAAGTTTTTTTAAAAACGCAACCATCCTGTTTAGGAACGCTGGACAGAAACATATGGCGATTATCAACAGACAAAACAACTCAAAAACAGATACTGTGTACAATTTCATCGAAAACGATCTTGAGCTGAAAGGCAACAAACAAGTTTTGGAAACAATGAACTATCACCATCATCCTGCTTTTGAGAAAAGTGAACTCATCACGGAGGATGATATTGAGAAATGGGATGCAAGCATGGCCTGTCAAAGGAAAATGCATGCAATCGTAATGAATTGCACGTAAACCTCTTTGAAAGCGACTGTATAATCAACTAACATGCCTGATTTCGAATAGTATTCTGTAATTCACTCCTGAATCAAAATCATGTGGCCCCAAATAAAAACGTGCAAAGCAAACCATTAGTTTTTTTATATGTAGCAGAATCGATTCACCGTTGTTTCTAGAAAATAGTGATATTTTGTGCATTATCATTTTTCGGAAAGATTTGATTTTCTTAGACCGTTGTGAAAACTGATGGATGCAGTAGACCTGATAGAGCTGCATTTTGAAGAAAAAAGATATCCAGATGGGTTTCAAAAAGAAACAATGGTAACGGATGAATGAATAAAATGGTTCAGATCGAGGGTTATTATCCAAAAAGTGATAATTTCAGATATGATGAAAAAACGCCTATATTCAAAATTGCAGATATCATAAAACAGTCAAAAACTCATAGTGTGTTGTTTAAATTAGCAATATCCTACTCATTTTTGAAAAACGTGTTGTATAATGTAAAATCAAAACTGCTTGTATATAAAATTGAAACCCTGAGTTTTCTGACTGCACTTTGATATGCTTTAATATTTTGCTAAACTGTGAGTATTATTATGAACAATCAGTTTGCTTTAACTGAACTTGAAATGATTCTAAGGGGATGATTTGCCACGCATTATTAATTCGCTTATTGAAATCATTAGGCATTATTCAAACTGCGATGACATCCGCATTTTAGTACTGTACAAGCAATTCGCTTGACAATTTAAAAAGTTCCGGATCAATAACCAAACGCTGTCAACTTTAGTTTCAATTTAGTTTGAAAATAAAGAGCTAACCCATACAGAATATATTCCCATTTTTTGAAAATCGGATCAATTATCAATCAAAGATTAATGTACTAATTTGTTCAAGTGGCTGAAAATGCATAGATGTTAGCAATTAGTTCAATGAAGCGACGTCAGCTAAAAGGTTGTAAATCAATTTGCATCTTATCTCTTTGACACCAGTCTTACTTGTTTGAAAAATGATCGATATTTGCGTCATTTTTTGTACGTTCTTGTTAGCTGTAAACCTTTTTCAATTTCCTTATCATTGTACATTTGTAGTATGCATAGCAATCTGACATTATTCTGACCACCTTCAGAAGTAAGTAAAGAACTGTGGCTGTAGATCAGTTTTTTCCAGCTGATTTGACTACCTCGAAGAACGCTCGTGTGGTATCATTTTGCAAGAGATACATGGTTCAACTTGTTTTCTAATTTTTTAAAAATTGTTTGAGTTGTATGAGAGACTTTAAATTTGTTGCTATTTTAAAATTAGTTTTGCCTTCTTTTGGGGGTTTCAATCTGATTCAATTGTCTTCAATGAGAAATACCAACAAAAATTGAGAATTTTTCTTTTAAAGTTAACGTTTGTTTCTCTTGATTTTTACAAATTTTTGAACTTAAACGCCATAACCGGTTAACTGTTACAAGAGTTTTAATTACTTGAAATCTGAAAATTCAATCTTTGATATGATTCCCATTTTCACTCCACTTTGCGAACGTCAACAGCAAGATACCGCTTTTATCCGCTTCAGAACCTTATCTAAGCCCTTCAAAAGAATTGAGTCTGCGTGTCAGTCTCCCTATTTCCGTAAATATCTGCAATTAACACCAAATGAAAATTTTATTTCAACTAACGCACTTTAACAAAAAAAAACCTATCAAACGTTTTCATGTATGATACAGATTTTTTACTTCAAATTAGACCAAGTAAGGTCTCCAAAAATGACGGAAAACGTTTTATTTCTCTTTTCTATTCTAAAACCACTTCTATGCTCGCTCAAGCATTCTGATAGTATATTACTACAATATTTGAACATCTTTTTTGTCTAATATTTAGTCGAGAGCCAATTTTTCACCAAAAATACTATCAAAACGTTTTTGCTTTGAGCCAGGTTTTTTGATTATGTGTAAGAGCTTAACTTAAGATTTATTTAGTCAACAAAAACCGCCCCTGAACTATACATCCAAAAAATTTTCAGCTTAAATGAAATTATATTTCTTAATGACTCTCTATAGTTATTTTTGTTGTAGATAGCCCAAGCAGATAGCCCATAGTAGATAGCAATTTTTACCGAACTTTATCTGTGAGACCATTTCAAAAGTAGTTTGTTTTTAATTTAATATGACAATTGTTCATTGTGTTTTTGGAAACAAAAATAAAATTTTAAAACTCAAAAAGTACATGTTTTTTGATATTTGATATTTTTTTTTCAAAATAGGAAAATAAATACTAAAAATAGTTCTAACATAAGTTTCACATAAGTTTAACCTTGTGAAGATTGTTTTTTGATATTTTTGAAATAATTTAAAATGTTAAATGATTTTTTGAAAATTTCAGCAACTGAAAATTTTGCAATTATTTTTTTTGTAATAAATAAGCATCATTTATATACTGCACCGAAATTTTTCTGAACAAGCCAAAATACGCGATGTTGAGATACGAACAAAAATGGAGTGGCAATATAAACTGCTGTTTGTCTGGTATAATATATATGAAAAATTTCAACAAAACTTACGAGAACGTAATTTTAGTTTTATAGTTTGTTTTATTTGATTGTTCCTGTGAAAAAAAAAGCTTTTTGTTTAAATATTGCAATAGTGTTTCAAAGATTGCACTACTGTTTTAATAACTGCATTATTTTCTCAATTATGGCACGGAAACTTGCTGCACACGGGCGTTTTGTGATTCAGCTATCAATAATTCTTGGGTTTTGTGCATAGGTCTTACATACAGTTCCTAACGAGCTTTGATGTTAGTTTTAGCAGTTGATAAGTGCTCAAAGTCAAATTGTCTGTTTTTATTGTTATTGTCCTTGCATGTAAAGTTAAAAATTGATATCTAATTCTGAAAACAAAAACGATTTACCTTGAACCCGTTGAATTTGTTGGTTGCTATGGCCCGGAACCAGAGAGTATCACAATCACTTTTTTAAAAATTGACTCCTTTTTTAAATTTTTGATTGCAACTTACTGCAAAAAGTTTGTACAAAACCGACTGTCAAGTCTTGTATGTTAAATTTTTTGCACTAAGTTTGCTTTTTTGCATAATTGCTTGCAAAAAACTTCTTCCAAATTGCTATTTTTTTAATCTGCAGAAATCAATTAATCAATGATTTCTGAGTACAAAATTTTAAATAAAAAACAAGCAAACAAACAGGTTTTATTTTTATTTTCAGCCACAACGATTCGTCATAATTTTATAGGAAGCTTGAACAATTCATACATGGGTTTTCTACAAGTTGTGTCTCTGCCGACTTGTTTCCTAAGTTGATTTAAATCATCTGATCTACAATAATTCATAGTCGTTTCAATTCAAGTATTTACTACGTTTTGGTGCTTTGATTGACAAAGTGAGAAATTTCATAGCAGACTACGGGCGTATGTCAAAAAATACAAAAAGGATGCTTATTTTAATCGGTCCTTAAGCAATCGGCTAGCGCTGGAAAGTATCAAAAGAATCAGACATATTAGTTTGCAAACTTTTCCAAACTCACTGCTTCAGAAACTTTCTTTTATTGGCGCAGCCAACAAGAAGCTTAAAAAGTATCATTATTTGTAGGATTGAGATCAAAGATTCTGTCAAGCTTCCCTCCTAGTCTCTAAACGTCTTTCAACCAATTTTGCGTCAGTCGTAATATGTTGGTCTGCTAAAAACTTTTTTTAATGTTAAATAGTTGGTCTTCAAAAACTTTATCTTGCGAGAGAAATCATTTGAAATGAAGAGAGGCAATAAAGATGCTGCGAATTATTTTTGTGGGTTTCAAAGTAATTCATGTTGCAGGGGTAATTATCGTTTCAGTTATAGTCTCAGTTATAGTCTCAGTTAAACCGTTCGAGAGTTATCCTACGTTTCTACTACTCTATACTATCAGCTTCAAGCCGAAGATTCATAGTATCAGCTTCAGTTTATTTGCGTGACCTTCTTTGTTGTTCGAACCAAGGAAATTGTTCCTTATTTGTGTGATTTGTGTGGTATTTTTTGTTGATCTTTGCGTGATTTTTTTTGTTGTTCCAAACAAGGAAAATGATGACCGCTTTGAACTTCATTTTTGATCAGTCCAAAATTAGGAACCACCGACAAAAAAGATGAGTTCTAATGACATATCATATCAAAAATTTTCAATAATTGTTTGAGCTGCAATGAGGAGTTTCAAAAAGCTTGACATTATCGTAAAATGTTTAGTTTTTGTATTTTTCTGTCTTGTTTGCCACGTACTTTTCAATTTCAAAATCATGGTCACATCAAAATCATTTCATGCAAAAGCTAACACACTTAAAATTTTAGTAGCACTGGCAAGTAGAAAAAATTCTCAATTCCCAACAAAACCCCAAAGAGGTGAAACTCAAAAAACCAGAAAACTTTTAATGGTTGTTTTCTTATCTTGGAAACCAGAGAAAACGCTCAGCAAAATTTCCCAAACAGAAAAAATCACAAACTATCAGTCGTTGTCTCAAATTACTTAGTTAATAATTTAAAGTCAAAGTAAATACAAAATAAACTAGTCAATTTTTTGATAAAATTGTTCACCAACAAATATTCTTGCTCCGATTAAAATTTAATTTTTATAAAATTGCACTTTTGCAAAAAAAAACTTAAAATTCGAGATTCAAAAGAAATTTTTTTTTGATGATTGTTATTTATCTCGGAAACGGTAAGCAAAACAAAAACAAACCTGATATCTAAGCTGGCAAGACATTTTTTCTCAATGACCAGTAAGTAATGATGATGAATTTACTGACTGAACTGTTAAGCCAACATTTGCATGTGAGTTTCGAATATTTATAATCCCAAGCTACGTCAATTACTATTTTTCAAATAATTATACTGTTCAATGTCCACTTCTTCTCCCTCTCTCAATGCCATCTTAGTGGGCTCTAATTTTTTTTATCGGCCCGACATTTTTGAAATTTTCCTTCTGCTTTCGAAAATTTCTGCTTTCGACAACTCTTCTGCTTTCGAAATTTTCCTGCAGGTTAAATTGATCAATCGCAAGAAAAATCTCATTTTTTCAAATTAGTCACGAAGTGGCTGCTGAGAAATTTCTGCTAAGAAACGACTTTTTTGGAAGACAGATAAACTGTTTTTCTGTTTTGTCTTTTTATTGGCAGTCTAGTTTCCGGGTTATTCCACACGACAGAAAAACCGATGACCGAATAGTTTCAGCCAATCAACGCGCTCTATGCGTTGATTGGTCCAAACTGACTGATTTCATTACATTTCTGCTCACAT